AGGAGGAGGAGGAGGAGGAGGAGGAGGAGGAGGAGAAGGGGATATAAATTACGTGATGAGTTTGGAGCCCAGGAGAAGACTTGATGCTGAGAATGTGGAAGGAGCCAGAGTAAAGATGAGCTCAACTCCGGAGTGGGTGAGATGTATAGTGAATTAAAGATGCTGGCAAAAGAATCTTGGGAAACATCTACATTTGTGCCATAATTGGGAATGACTGAGAAGGAAAACTGTTGGAAACCATCAGACTTTGAAGTCAAAAAAGCAAAGGTGCCAAAGTCATGATAGACTCATTCTGGTCTTAGTCAGAAGAAAGACTCCAGACCGAGTGGAAAGACTGTTCCAGGAGCCAACCCTTCACAGAAGAACGTGTCCTGGAGTTGGCAAATAGTAGAGCTTACCCTGAGGACATGCCCTTCAAAGGCAGGCTGTGGGGTGGGGGTGGGGAAATGAGCCAAGGGAGGGAATATTTCCTGGGATCTGGGATCAGAGTGAAGGAGGGTGTCTACCTGTCAATAGACCCTAGTGCAGGGTGGAGGGAAGGAGCTGCCTCCATTGAGTTGAGGAGAGACTTAGAGAAGGCAGAGGCCAGTAAGAGAGGCCAGGGATGAGGTAACATCTGCTCACAGTGAGGGCTGAAGAAAGTGCAGGGTGTAATGGCACCAACAAGTGGAGAGGGCACCATCGGCAGGAAGGAGTAGACTGAACGGACCAGGAAGTAGAGGGAAAAGCAGGGTCCCTAAGGGGACTGCTCTGAGAAAGAGGAAGAGGTTGAAGAGACACGGTACTGAAGGAAGAGGACTTGCCTTTGGACTGTGACCCTGTGGTCACCAGGCTTCACATACCTGTAGCCTGGGCCTCTGACAGAGCTCCAAGTCTGAGACTTGGGATGGTTTAAGGTGATACCAGATGGACCTAAAGCCTTCCACAACCTCTGGATGCAGAGCTGGGTGTCTCTCCCACTGACTTTCTGTACTTCTCCAACATACAACTGCTCCCACCAAGGGCCCCATTTACATGCCTCCATGGGAACTGGAGAAGCCTAGTTCACCGGGAATCCTCCAAGGTGTGCTCCACGTCTGGCCCACAGCAGACCCTCAGTGTAGTTTGTTATAATGCACAGGGTCTGCCCTGAGGGGCTCACAGTCTCCTTTTGCCCTTGGGTTTCTCAGCCCTGAGGGTGACACACTACCAGAGAGTGTGAGGACTGGCTTTGTCAAGACAGAGACACCCCTGGCAGTGACCTGTCAGTTATCCCACAGGCAATCCCAGTGCCACTAGAGCTGAGAAAGACAAGACTGCCTGAGAACAGAACCCCAAATTCTATAATCACTGCCAAGCCACTGTCCTTTCCTCCCCCTTCCAACCCAGCCGGTACTATCCCAGCTTCGGGGAGCTCCTGTCTCATTGTCCTGCTGGGAGTCTGTGCTACCTGGCTGTGCCTCTCCCCTCACCTCGGCAGCCCTGCCGCAGCTCTTTCAGCCACACCTGGGCCTTGCTGAATCTGGGATTAAGAACTAAAAAATGGTCACAAGAGACCTGAGAGATCAACTCTTCCAAACTCTGCATTTCACAAGTAAGGGAATGACTCGGCCTAAGATCACGAAGCCACTTCTAGCCTCACCTGGATCCCCCCAGCCTCTCTACTCCTGCATCCTACCTGCCAAGTCCTTTGATACCTGCAGAGCCCCTGGCCAGGCACTGCAGTCGGAGTCTCTCAATGGGATCCGTGGCCGTGGTGAGTTTCTTCTTGGACTGGATGGCCATCTCTCGGTCATGGCGTGCTGTCCCTGCCATCTGAGAGGAGAGTTCACAGCACATTAGCAGAGCTCCGGCCGCACCCCCTGCCTCTGGCTGAACAGGAGATAGCAATCTTGCTGAGAAGGAAATTTACAGCTCAGTTTGCCATCAGATCTCCCAGGAATAGTCTCAAACCTCCTCCCAGAATTTCCAATTTTTAACCAAGCTGACTGTGTGCCTGGCATATTTATTACTTACTGACCGTGTCCCGAGGCCATCTGCTTTCCCCCAGCTCAACAATGAATACAAAGCCATTTTCTCATTCTGAAGCCCTCCTCCCTCCATTGAAAGTCCAAGTTCTCCACCCTCTTTTAGAAACAACCACGAATCCTACGTCGTTTAATTTAGATTTCTCCATATTCCCTCACTCCACGTTTAATTAAGAGTCTCCTCTTTGGTCTAAACACTGATTTCCATTGCTTCTGTCTTCCCTGAGATTCTCGAAACTAGGGTCCTGATGATTCTTACCAGCAATCAGTGTGTTCTCCTTGATTGGCAGGTATGTGTCCATTAACAAGGTTCTTTTGTGGGGGGAGGGGGTCCCAGGGAGTAAACTCAGGGCCACATCCCCAGCCCTATTTTTGTATTTTATTTAGAGACAGGGTCTCACTAAGCTGCTTAGCATCTTGCTTTTGTTGAGGATGGCTTTGAACTCACGATCGTCCTTTCTCAGCCTCCCAAGCTGCTGGGATTACGGGGCAGGCACCACCACACCCAGCAACAGGGTTCTTAAGACAGAAATATTTTAAACAGGGTTGGGGCTGGGGCTCAGAGGTAGCGCACTTGCCTGGCATGTGTGAAGCACTGAGTTTAATTCTCAACACCGCATATAAATAAATAAATAAAAGGTCTATCAACAACTAAAAAAAAAAATCTATATTTACTATCTCTCAGCTGACACACATACAAAAAGATATCGTTTTCTCCAGCTTGGCTTTTGGGATTTGAGTTTTCAGAATTGGAGAGAAGGGTGGTGTGGTGAACTGATTCCTGCTTCAGTTCTCAGAACTTCCACAGTGGTGGAAAGAGCACTGGGCACTGGGAGCCTGGGGACTCAGGTTCGAGTCCCACCTCTTCACTGCCATCCCGACCCACCCCATGACATCAGAGCCAGTCTCAAAGCTCCCACTGTCTCCTTCTCTGTTGGCTTATATGATCTTTAAATTTCATTCCGACTCCAAAAACCAGTAATCTCCATGAGTCCACTAACCCAGTGGATGCAAGATTCTAGAAGCTACCTTACGTTGAGCTCCAAATAAAAAGAGCAAGAGGGTAGGAAGAATGGCACTCAGTGCACACAAGACAATAAATGGTGCTCGATGGGTTCTACCCTTGACTTAAGGGCTCCCTGGCTGTCCAAATTCTGGCACTTGCCTTGAGGACCACGTAAGGACAGAATTATTTTTATCAAAGATGGCAGCCCTGGAAATTGTGCCCTCCCCTGTACCAACTGTTTTCCTATCACACCCTGAAAGGTTTCCCTATAAAGTATTCAGTATTTAACTTTCAGGAAAGGGAATCTCAAACCGAAAACTGAGGCTCGACTAGACAACACAGAGGAGCACACTCTGAACTCACCTCAGCTCCAGGAGCCTCCTTCCAGCTGATGAACAGGATCCCTTCTTCTTGCCCTCCCTCCTGATTTCCATCATGTAGCTCAAGATGGGAGTGCTCCGCTCAGTTTTCTTGGACTCTGGGCCAGCCCACAGGAGTTCCAGCTGCTTTACTCCATATTTGTAAGAAATTGTTCCCCCTAAGGCTATGCAGGGTCTCCCTTTGCTTGGTGCCGCACGGAAGCAGAGATTCCCTGGAATTCCAGATGGTGGCGCCCACTGCCCCCACAGACCCCATCTCCGTCCATGGCAGGTGAAGGTACCTGTCCCCCTGGACACCTGCTGCCCTCGAGGTCGCCCCACTGGTAGCATGAACCTTCTCAACATTGGCTTTGTCTCTTACCATTTTTTCACCTGACCTCGGACTGACATTCCTAGAGCTTGTCCTGGATTCCAGTCCTAACTCCATGCCCACAGAATTCCTCATCCACCACCAGATTCTGGTTCCCCTACAAGACCACCCCCCTCATCTCGCTGCTTCCTGCTCGCCACCCACCCTTGAGTCGCCATTTCCTTGCCCTGGCCATGTTCTGTCCGTGGAGCTTGTTCCAGCCTTCCCAACTTCCAGGCTGCAGAGGCAGGAACAGGGGTGGGTGGGCAGCATGCCCTCTTCAGCCTCTGAACCCCCTCAGAGGCTTGCTCCTTCCAGGAGCACCTGCTGCCCCTTCACCTGTCCCACGGGCTGCCCCAGCCCCTACTCCCCTCCTCCTGTCCTCCGACCTCTCCTCCGCCTTCTGCGCTCTCCTTGCTGTCCTACTTCCACACCGTCCATGACAGCAAGCGAGGAACAAAGAGAGACCTCAACTGAAAGCCACAGTGGGGAGACAGGAAGATCTGGTGTTTAAGGGATTTTGCAAGTGGAGTGCTCCTTGCAAACCTTTGGGAAAATTTATATATATATTTATGTCTGCTATAACATTCTTTTTTTTATTGGTTGTTCAAAACATTACAAAGCTCTTGACATATCATATTTCATACGTTAGATTCAAGTGGGTTACGAACTCCCATTTTTACCCCAAATACAGATTGCAGAATCACATTGGTTACACATCCACAATTTTACATAATGCCCTATTAGTAACTGCTGTATTCTGCTACCTTTCCTATCCTCTACTGTCCCCCCTCCCCTCCCTTCCCATCTTCTCTCTCTACACCATCTACTGTAATTTCTCATGCAATGGAAAAATATTAAAAGCATCAAATTCTAACAGTTCTTGGGCCTCCACTGGATGGTAAGCATGTATTCATTCCTCACACAAAACCCATGAACTGATCTGAAAACAGGGATACCCAAGTCTGTGGCAACATTATTCACAAGAGCCAGAAGGTAAAAACAATCCAAGTGTCCACCTATGGATGGACAAACTATGGCATATCCACACAATGGAATATCATTCAGCCATTGAAAAGGAATGAGGTCTTGATATATACCACAATGTGTATGAGTCTTGACTACGTTACACCAACTGAAAAAAGCTGTACCAAAAAAGAGTCACATATTATATGATTCCACTTATGTGAAATATCCAGAAAAGGCAAATTCAGAAGACAGAAAGCATATTAGTGATTACCAGGAGCTGATACCGGGAGGGCAATGGGAAGTGCCTGCTTAATAAGCATGGGATTTCCTTTGGGGTGATGCAGATGCTTGGGAACTTCATATAGGTGGGTGATTACACAACACGAGGATGCTGCTGAATATTTTAAGATGGCTAACTTTATGTTAAGTGAATTTCATATCAACTTTAAAAACCCATGATCATTTGTTAATTAGCTAGATTTAGTCATTTCACAATCTATACATACTTCAATACATGATGCTGTACCTGGTAAACACATACAGCTGCATCCGTCAATTTAGAAGTAAGTAAATAAAAAAGTGTGCCTGGTACATACACATCTTGGCAAAGAGTTAGCTAAGGGGGGGGGGGAATGAAGTAGTTAGTTAGTACTATTTTTTGTATTTCACAAATAAATAAGGGTCCAGAGAAATCAGGCACTTGCACAGGGCAGATAGCACTATGGATCACAGTGATTCATATAGTGTCAGGATCGTAAGACTTTACTGATTATCTACGGCCACCTCCTTATTTTACAAAGTTGGAAGGTATGTTAAGACCATTTTCTGTTGTTTTGCCAAAAGATCTGAAACCAGATCATTTATTTAAAAAAAAAATTGAGGTTTATTTGGCTCACAGTTCTGAGGCTGGGAATTCCAGGGGACGGCACTGCTGACATCTAGTGAGGGCCCTCCTGCTGCATCATAACACGGCTGAGGGCATCAGGAGCAGCCACAGAGCAAGTTCCTCTTCTTACAAAGCCACACTTGCCATCATGGAGGTCCCGCCCCATGACCTCATCTAATCTTATATATCAACAGCCCCATCTGCAAATTCCATTAACAACATATGAAATTGAGGGGACACATTGAAACCAAGGTTGGAACCACATTGGAACCAAGAATTGGATTGGTAAATTGACTTGCCCCAAAGTCCTGGCCAACATCAAAATACCGAGCTTGATTCTCAAGCAGTGCTCTTTCTACTGCACCATGTTTGTGAAATAATATATACGAGGGTCAGCGTACAAGCAGATGGCCCTCTCTCAGAGAAAAGCAAGAACATCCAAGATCACCAGCCTCTCAGAGTCCAAACTGTCCTGTCATCGGAGGCTGATCCTACCCGGTGACGACACAGGCTTTCACCTCTGGAATCCAATTTGGCAAGCTCAGGGAAAAAACTGCTTGTTTGGTACTTGATGGTACTTGAACTACCCACATCAGCTACCCCTGTTAATCACTTAGTCACCCAGTCCATCAACAAACAGCTAATATTTATTGTCTACTCTCTTCAAGGCACAGTACGGGGCCAGAAGGTAGGAGGTAAGGAATTACTCAAAGCTCTAAAATAGCTTAGACTCTTAATAAGTTGGAATTCTGAAGTCCTTATATTTACACAGAAAAAAAAAAAAAAGTTTGTAAGAAGTGGATCTTTAAAGGAAGGCAGGATTGGGTAAGGTCCTGGGCAACACTCAACAACTTTCAAAGTTTGCATGAACGCACCAGGTGACAGGGCAAAAATCTGTCCTCAAACATAATATCAAGATGTCCCTGATTTCCCAGTGCTGCTCAAAGTGTTCCTGACTCCTGGAGGCTCTTTCTGACTCACGTGGTGAGTTCCCCAGCCAGGCCCCAGCAAAGTGGAGAAGGAGGTACACGTAGCCACAGTGCCACCGCGTGTTGGCTCATGGTCTGCGCAGCTCCCCTACCAGAAGCAGGTTTCAGTCTATTTCAACAAATGTCTACCGTGCGCGCTGTGCAGGGAGAAAAGGGAATACACAGTATTGAAGGCCTTAGGGGGAAGGGTGCAACCCCACTTCTAAGCTATAACAAATCACAAGAAGGTGGCTAACCCAGCTTTGGAGCAGGGCTTTATGAAAACATTTCAAAGTGGATAATGCCTAAGTATTATGGGAGGGGATGGTTATGGGAGCTGTGAGGGTTAATATGGGTATCTCAGGTACCACAGCAGGAACACCACGTGCTTAGG